AGTATTCCTCTCTGTCTCTCTTGTTCCCGTAGCTTCTTCAAAGTTCTAGATGGTACCAGAGCAGGAGTGATCCTGCTCAGATAACCACAGATTCAGCTCAACAAAATTGCTAATCAATAAATCTTCCAATTCCGGTGAATCTCAGCCAGAAATTATGGCGTTCGTCATTGAAGATCCAGAAACCAGTCGCAGTGGAGAGATGCACAATCGAAGAAGAGAAAATGATGTAGTTCAGTATGGCGGTTATAATCATCCTCTTCTGTTGTTAGCATCTGATAATTCAAGCTTAATTCCGATCAATTTTCAGTTGACGGAGTCCAATTATGTGGCCTGGAGTTATGCGATGCGGCGAGCTCTTGGTTCTCGGAACAAATTAGGTTTTATCACAGGGAGTTATGCCAAACCGAGTCATCAACATCCTGACTTCGAGCAATGGATGCGTGTTAATGATAACGTTGTGGCTTGGATTCTCAACGCAATTTCTCCCGGTCTTGTTGAAAATTATACTTTGGCAGAAACTGCGTTTGATCTTTGGGAAGAATTGAAGTACCGGCATGGCACCAAGAATGGACCTCAGATCTATCAGCTTAGAAGGGAGATATGTACGATGTCACAAGGAAATGAATCTGTGTCCTCACACTATTCAAGATTGAAGAGACTTTGGGATGAGCTCAATGTTTTGGATCCAACAGAAGATTGCGAATGTGGAAAGTGCACCTGCCATCTCAGATTGGGAGGAATGAAGGATGCGAAAAACAGGTTATATCAATTCTTGACTGGTTTAAATGATTGTTATACAACAGTTCGCAATCAAATACTTATGATTGAGCCTTTGCCTGATGTGAAAAGAGCCTATTCTATGGTGTCAACTGTTGAGAAACAAAATCAGGTTAATGTGCTCTATAGTACAATCTCAGATCAAAGTGCAATGAAAGTTCAACAGGTTGAAAACAATATTGTAGAAGCAGCAATGTCAGTGCAGGAAGGAAAATTCAACAAGGCTGGTAAAGAGAATGATTATAGAAGGGATAAGGCGGCCAAGAAGCTTCTGTATTGTGACAATTGCAAAATGACTGGACATAACAGAGAAGGTTGCTTCCGCATTATTGGATTTCCAGATTGGTGGAATGACAATCACAAAGAAGGGAAGAAATCACAGTTTAAAAGATCAGGAAATTACTCAGCTAACCTTGTGGAGTCAAAAATGGAGCAACAATTGGAAGGATCAAGTGGTGATGGAAATAACATGCAGCAGATCATGATGAACACTCTGATGAAACTACAGCAGGACATGGGGAAGCTTATGAAAGGAAATCAACAAGCAGAGGGTTATGACAGGGTGAATTTTGCACATTACCATGACTTTGCAGGTATGAGCAATTTCACAGCATTGAATTCCTTGAGTTCTGTTGATAAAATGGTATTATGTGCTTTATGGTTTTTAGATACAGGAGCTACTGGTCATATGTGCTATCTTTTAAACCTGTTTGCATCATTTCAACCTGTTAGCCATTATACACCAGTCTGTTTGGCAGATGGAAGCATGAAAAGTGTTAAAAATATAGGCACTGTTATGCTTTCTGATACTTTACAGCTTAAAGACTGCTTGCATATACCAACATTCCAGTATAACCTGATCTCAGTTAGCAAATTAGCCAACTCTTCCAACATTGATTGCCTGTTCTCAACAAACTTTTGTTTGTTGCAGGACCAAGTGACTAAAAGGCTTTTGGCAGTTGGAAAAGTAGTAAATAAACTTTACGTTTTGGATCACACATCCTTTTCACAGGACACCATTTTCAGCTTCATGAAGAACAATGTTAACCATCTTTTTGTTCAGTGTGTCAATCCTAAGAAATGCCTTATGTCAAACACTGATTGTAATAAGTCCAAAAATGTCATTTGGCATCATAGATTAGGTCATGTACCTGATTCTGTCATCAGTCGGCTAGGATTGTTCAATAAGAATGATGAGTTTGTTTCAAAACAGTGTAGTATCTGCCCTTTGGCAAAGCAGCAAAGATTAAAATTTTCAGTTAGTTCTATCCAATCTAATTCCATTTTTGAACTTGTTCACATTGATATATGGGGACCAAATGCTCAAAAAACCATTAGTGGAGCTCAATACTTCTTGACTTTGGTAGATGATTTCAGTAGGGCTACTTGGACATATCTAATGCAACATAAATCTCAGACAGTTTCAATTTTTGCAGCCTTTTTTAAAATGATTCAGACTCAGTTCAACAAGGCTGTCAAAATAATCAGAACTGATAATGGATCAGAATTCCTCAATTCTAGCTGTCAAGGTCTCTTAAAAGATCTTGGCATCATTCATCAAAGATCATGTGTATACACTCCACAACAAAATGGCGTTGTGGAGCGTAAACACAAGCATCTTCTCGAAATATCCAGATCCTTACTTTTTCATTCAGGCCTTCCAAAATATTTCTGGGGGGAAGCATTACTCACAGCTACCTACCTCATAAATAGGTTGCCTTCTTCTGTGTTGGACTGGAAGATTCCATATCAGGTTCTATTTTCTAAACAGCCAGACTTTCAACACCTTAAAGTGTTTGGAAGTCTTTGTTATGCTACAAATACAAATCCACACAAAACAAAGTTTGAACCCAGAGCCATCAAATCAGTCTTCATTGGGTATCCATTAGGTCAGAAGGCCTATAAACTATATGATCTAGATTCCAAGAAGACATTTGTTTCCAGAGATGTTGTTTTTCATGAAACAACCTTTCCTTTCTTGGAATCACCATCTTCAACAGTATCCAGTAGTCAGTCAATCCCTTTAGGCCAATTTGATCAATTTCCTTCCACAGACATGAATTTGTTCCCAACTTCTGATTCCTTAGGAGAAAATAATGTTGATCCTTTCCTACATCATGACGTTTTTCCTTCTGCTTCCGACGATTTGTCTAAAACACCCGATAGATCATCACCTGTTACAATCATACCTTCTTCACTTCCAATCAACACTTCCCCTCTTCCAATAGATATCATCACTTCTGAATCTGCCTCTGATACTTTGATTCCTCTTAGGAAAAGCACTAGAACCAGAAATGCTCCCAAGTGGATGGATGATTATGTTCCTGGTAAAGCATGTTTTTCTCACACTCTTGACACTCCACTAGACCCAATTCATGAATACAAACAGTACACTCCTCACAGCTTTCCCTTTTACCCCATGCATAATTGCACAGTAGCTCATGTATCTTTTTTAACCAAAGTGGATAGTATCATAGAACCAACAGGATACTTGGAGGCAAAACAGTTTCCCGGTTGGCGAGATGCCATGGATGCTGAGCTCAAAGCACTGGAGGATAACCAAACCTGGGAAATCACAGATTTGCCACCTGGAAAAAGGGCCATAGGGTGTAAATGGGTCTACAAAATCAAATATTGCTCTGATGGCAATATAGAAAGACTGAAAGCAAGGTTAGTAGCAAAAGGATATAATCAGATAGAGGGAGAAGATTATTATGATAGCTACTCTCCTGTGGCCAGAGTGGGAACCGTTCGATTAGTCTTGGCAGTTGCTGCAAGTGCTAGTTGGTTCATACATCAACTGGACATAAATAATGCTTTCCTCCTTGGATATTTGGAGGAAGAAGTGTACATGGTGCCTCCAGAAGGGTATACAAAGGCATCATCCGGGAAGGTTTGCAGACTGAGAAGATCATTATACGGCCTTAAACAAGCATCAAGACAATGGAATGTGGAATTTTGCTCAAGGATTCAGCAACTAGGATTTCAGCAGTCACATCATGATCCTTGTTTGTTTACCAAAGGAACAGGAGGTGATTTCATGGCACTAATTGTATATGTGGATGATGTTTTAATAGCCGGACCAGATGAACAATCTATCATAATCATCAAAAGAGCACTGAACAATGCCTTCACAATCAAGGATCTTGGAAATGCAAAATATTTTCTTGGCATTGAATTGACCAGGTCAAGTGAAGGTCTTTATCTCAACCAGAGAAAATACATCCTGGATATTCTCAAGTCAGTTGGTCTCTTGGGATGCAAATCTACAACAACACCACTTCCAAAGCACCATCAGTTTACTGATACACCAGGAGATCCTATAGTTGAAGCTTCCAGGTACAGGAAAGTTGTTGGTCAGCTACTTTACCTCAGCTTTACCAGACCGGATATACAGTTTGCTGTCCAACAATTGAGTAAATATGTGCATAAGCCGTGTGATGATCACTGGAATGCCATGATTCATGTGCTCAAATATCTTAAAGGAACACCATCACATGGTCTCTTCTATGCAGTTCAGGATTCTCCTCAACTTGTTGCTTACAGTGATGCAGATTGGAACTCAGATCCTGTTGACAGAAAATCAGTCACAGGTTTCTGTGTCTTCTTTGGCTCGTCCCTAATCTAGTGGAAGACTAAGCAACAAGGTACAGTCTCATGTTCTTTAGCAGAAGCTGAATATAGAAGCATGAGTTTTACAGCTAGAGAATTACTATGGTTATCATATTTGCTGCATGATTTTCACATCTTAGTCCCTTTGCCGATTCCACTTTGGTGTGATAATCAAGCTGCAATTTATATTACTGAAAATCCAGTGTTTCATGAACGGACAAAACACTTGGAGGTGGATTGTCACTTTGTGAGGCATCAATTTCAGCAAGGTTTTTTGGTTCCTCTTGATGTTTCTTCACAAGAACAGATTGCAGACGTTTTTACAAAGTCCCTGCCACTTCCTTTGTTCTGCAAAATGTTGTCCAAGCAGGGCTTGAAGAATATTCTTCTAGCTACAGCTTGTGGGGGGAGTGTAAAGGATGATGTTCCTGATCAGAGTGAAGAACAAGAAGCTGATGTGTATCAGTTCCAGCCGCCTTAGTCTATTTGTTTTTTTGAGTCTGATTGTTCAGTATATGTTAGTGAAGGGTAGATTTGTAAATAACCTATATAGTTAGTTAGATTAGCAGGTGTGCTGTTTATGCACTACACTTGGTTGTATATATACTCACCTATACATGTACAGAAATATGATGAAATACATATACACAATTCTGAATCTGAAACAGTATTCCTCTCTGTCTCTCTTGTTCCCGTAGCTTCTTCAAAGTTCTAGATAGTGTCATGCCATATAACTTGCAGAACTCCTGCTTAAATTGATCAACGAGGAAATCCCATTGCTTGGCTTCAAATAAGACCTTGTATGTCGCACACTCGGTATTACTCCTGAAAGCAAGTGTGGCCATCACCCTTTGCAATTCTTTCATGTGGGTAGCTCCCCAAGGAGCCAGATACTTGCGGGCATATGTAATAGCTCGCATGTTATTTTCAGCTCTTACTAGCTCTATGAAGTCTTGTAGTCTCAACTGAAAATCAAATTTACTCTTTGACTTCTTCAGCCTAGATTTATTATCCGCGCATCAAGCTAAAGCAGGGACGACATCTTTGTTTTGAAGAGCTTCAATAACCCTTCTTGCTTCAAAAAATACATCAATATCCACAAGATCCTGAATATTGCTGCTTTCAGCAAGCTTGATCGCAGTGTCATAGTAAGACATCCTTAACATGTAATCCACAAGTATTCTCTTCAATCGGGTATTGCTCCATTCTGATAGATTTTCTGCATCTGCAGCTCCAAATGGTCCAGTCTAGCTCGGCATCTCTGAGCTTGCAAGTTCTCTGTTTTACTCCCTTCTTCCAACTTCCTCTTGAGTCCTTGCAGTCTCGAGACCAGCGAATTAAGTTGCTTAACGGCGTCATCACGACATAGTTCCGCGGAGTCGGCGGCTTTGGCGACACCGGAGATGACAGCGGATACCTCTTTCTCGACAGCGCGGTGGTTAGCGCGGAGACGCGGAGGAACTGGTGCTCCAATTTTAAGGACTCCGCCAGGTGAGTCAGCTTGGATGACGGAACTGCGGCTGAAACCGAGCCGGAAGTGGTGATCGACGCCGCAGAGGAAGCGGCGGAGGCGGTTGTCGATGACGATGAGGAATTGCCGTTAGGAAGCGAGTCGGTTTCCATCTCCATGATTAGGGAATTTCGTTGGGATAATTGGATCCGGATATTTCTTATCTGCGCTTTTTGAGTGAAAAGTAATAAGTTTGAATCTTAGAATAAGTAACGGAATAATAATATCCAGTGTTATTTTTTCCCCTTTTTTTTACAATAAAGAAGGCCAAAGTCTAGTATTATCATATTTTGTTGGTGGAAAAGTTGGACAAAGTTATATTCTAACCCAATTCCTACATAAGAAATAGCTATCGTAAGATTTATTTGGAATATAAAAAGTCATTTATTATGATAAAGTCTAGTATTTGGTAGCTAGCTTGACTTATAAATGTGGTTGCAATTTTTTTATAAATTGAAAATTTTTTATCTGTGTGCTTTTTCAGGTTTAAAATAAATAATAACTTCCACCACGAAAATATTTATTTTCTTGAAAAATATAAGTGAACTAACCTAATTAATATAAAGCGATGGGTTGTTTTACTTTGTTTGTCGACTCATAATATAATCATTTCAAGTCTCTTTTTCCCTTTTGTAGGGTGGAAATATGTTTTCTGCGTTTTTTGAGAGGATTAACAAGTTTCAATTTTAATTAGAATATGTATAGACAGAATAATAACATCCATTTTTGTTTTGTTTTGTTTTGTTTTTTTTGTTTTACTATAGGATTTATTTGGAGTATATAGAAGTCACTTATTATGTGTACATGGAGTACATTATTTAGTAGCTTGTTTTTTGATGAGAAAAATGGCTACAGTGTTAATAAATTGAAATTTTGTACCTATATTTGTACTCTTCTAGGTCTATAACTAACGAAAACATCGTCCGCCTTATCTATATAACTTAATAAAGAAAATCAAGAAAGAGGAAACTGAGATAGTTTTTCATTTGCCACGTAGGACTGACAATTTTCTCCATTTTTTGATTTATTAAAAAGGAAAAAAAGGTTTTATCGTCAGTTAAACAAACCAAACTACAAAATCTATTTTAAATGATCCCAAAACTAAGTCTCCCATCTTTAATAAACTTCTCTACAACATCTTGAACTATAGTTAAAATATTTTAATCCTAATCATAACTTATCCTGAGAGAAGATTACAATCCAATCAATAAAAACTAACGAACAATTTGAATTTTAATATTCACCAGCTTTGATGATTTGTTAAATTGAAATCAAATGAGATAGTCAGAGATCAAATAAACCTCAATCTTTAAACATAAGTTAGCATGCATTCACATCTCCAATCTTGCAGCTGTCACCATCGCCACCATGTCTACAGACTTTGTGCTACTGGTGCCGAGACTTTGCAAGAATATATCAGTAACCTCAATAGGTAAAGGCACTTCACTATTGGTTAAATTAATTATTTTTTACCATCTCATCATCAATCAATTTAAGTTTGCGTCCATGTCGAACTCCGGAGTGTTACAAGCACTCATAGACATCAAGAAGTTCACCCAACTGTGGGTGAAATCAATTTTGAATATCCACGTCCTAATTCTCAACTTGTGAAGACCTACATATGGACACTCGGAGGAGTTGCTTCCACATATATAAGCAGGTAAATACTCCATATATTAATCTTATATATATAGTTTTAATTTTTTCATGTTAAGTTAAAATTTAAAAGTAATCCTTTTGAGTCACAAACTACATGGCAGGACTCCATCTGGGTGCACTTACTAAAAGATTCTTGGACAATTACATTTTTTCGCCGAAGTAAATAATGTTATGCGGATTATGTCTTCATGCTTGAACTTTCATTTAAAAAAAATTCATTTTTTTATATTTCTCTAAACTATTTTTTTATATTTACTTAAATCATCCGTAAAATTTAGAAACTTTGCATTCGAGTGGAAAAGAGAGAGCAAAACTAATAAAGTTAAATGCCGATGCATTTGTCAATTTTTATTGATCTGTTTTTTAAATTAACTATGTTTATATTTACATAAATCCTCATTAAATTCTAATTAAGAAACTTCGGATTTGGGGGCAAAAATAGCAAAACTAATAAAGTTAGATATGTATGTAATTACGGCTTGTTTCAAGAATTGTGATATTTATTAGCTTTCTGATTTTGGGAAGTTTAGTTTTTGTTAGTTGGTTCATTTTTCATTATTCTTTCCAATATCTATTAATTGGTTAATATTTGTTATTGATACTAATTCTCAGCATACATTTTTTGGACAAAAGATTTCCTACATCGTAATCTTATACCAGTTTCTGCATTATTTGTCAAGATTTTGACACATGACCCGACGGGTGCATCCAATAGTGAGTTAGGGTGTTAGTTATATTTTTCAAAAAAGAAAGTAATAATTAAATAGAAAATGTGACAAGTTTTATATGGTGATTTAGGTTGTATAGTAGGATCGTAATATAGAAGATTATGCCACCTTTTGGTGACTAATAATTTTTCAAAATTAAAAGTAAGAAAAAATATTCCATTTAATAATTTAAGCATATGATTAATTTTTTTTCCGAGACTGTGAATTTAAAAGTATTATTTCTACATGTCCATCTAATCGAGAAGGTTTCAGAACTTAAATATTTGATAATGATTTTATTTTCACGTTTTGGATTAAGTGATTTTTTTTACTGCATTGAAGTGGTAACAGTGACAAAAGTATCTCACGTGGGAAGAAAATATTTGACTAAAAGATTTAAAATTGTTCTCGCAGTGACTAAGGGCTTGTTTGCCCAAGGCTTATTTTGCATTTTTGTTTCATTTTACCTCTTAAAACATCTCAAACACAAATCCCAATACCATCCAAACAACTATTTAATTTATCTTTTAAAAAATATTCCAAAAATTATTTTTACACAATTTTCATCTACCACTACCGGACCACCTCCACCACCACCCGCCGCGACCGGACCGCCCGCCACCGCCGGCCGACGACCGGCCAGCCAAATTCCAGCGAGTTGGCCAGAATTTTGCCGGAATCCGGTTAGCCGATCGCCGGCCGGCGGCGGTGGTGGGCGGTCCGGCGGCGGCGGCGGCGGTGGTGGAGGTGGTCCGGTGGTGGTCTAAAAATATTAGTTTATTAAAAATATCATCCAAATAAATTTTTAAATTTTATCTCAAATCACATTTTAAATCACATCTCAAACCCAAATCAAAAATCAAAACAAAAACAAAAATAAAATGTTGGCCAAACAAGCCCTAAGGCACCTCAACCTGTATAACTAAGGCAATTCAATTAATAGGGACATCTAGTAAAAAATTAAAAGAATACTCTTACAATGATTAAGGTATATTAATGGGTGGCACACATGATTATATTGCCTTAGCGGAAGGAACCAAGAAACCTCAATTGCCAGGAGTTAGCTAAAATAATTGAAATTGTTGTAACAATGACTAAGACACATCAATGAGCGAAGAGTAAATAGTTTATAAAAAAATATAGTACTTTTGAATTATTTGTATTTGAACACAATAATTTAACTATTTCAAAAATTTTAACACAGAAAAATTTATAAAACTCATATCTTGTATATATATATACACTCTATCGATGAAAACTAATTAAATTCAGAATATACAAATTTTTGATATTGTTGAACTTAAACTTTTTATTTACATAAAATACAAACTATAGTGTTGTTGATGTCAATACCATAAATAACATGGTCATGATGATGTTTTAAGTAATATTACGGTTGGAACAACATGTCATTGAGGCAAAAGTTATCTCGAGTAGCTACGTCGAAGAAGATGTATACATTCCCCGCATGTCTTTGTGCCCCTCCGACGATTTTCATTCAAAATGAAAAAAGACAAGTTCCAGTTCACATTTGATTTTTGCAATGGCAATTAACAAGAGTCACTGATTGTCCATTTTTTATGTTAGATTGTGTCAACAACGTCTCATTTTCAACCCTCATCAATTATATGATGCTCTATCCAAATTTACATAAAAAACTTAAGTTTTCATATGCGGTGAAAATGGAGAAATGAATAACAAAACAATCAATATAGCATACAAAGAATACGGAAGGATTTATAGTCGTACAATTTACTTTTATTTTCAATATTGACAATTTATTTTCTTGTCAATTTTTTTTCCCGTCCATCGAACGGGTTACATCTAGTTATAAAAAGGAAAAAAAAAAAGCCAACTTACCCAATTATTATTATATTTATGATGATTACATATAAATTTTTTGCTTTTGAAATGAAAACGCCAAATTATGCTTTGTCACAACTACCTAACTTGACTCCTTTTTGTTTTCTTCTTCAGTCCTGAGTTCTACACGCTTCAAGCCGCAAACTCTCCGCAGCAACTAAATGCTAATCAATTGCGAAAGTACCACAAACTCAAATTGGTAACAGTTGTCAAATTTTCTTCTTTGTTATTTATAAAGGGTTTTATGATTTTTTAAAGTTCTACTATAATATGCATTTTGATCTTCATATGACAGATGCAACTGGAACACCATCAAGTCATCCTATTGCCCATGATGATGAAACAGCTACACAAAAAAATTGATTAAGTGGCTGACAATGATGGTGTCAAAGAAACTAAGAAAGTGAAGAGAATGGATTTATTCCAGATTTGAAGGGGAGAGTCTTATACTACAACAACTAAAACAGGCCACATCATGCTCTAGCACTAACCCTGCATTTAATATAAACGAGTTCCTTATTCCGTTTTGGTATTCAGAAAACTTTGTTGATCAATTCTAATAAGTCTACAAAACGTTTGGCCTATATAAGGCCTCAGACGCGCAGCAAATGAAAATCTAAAGCTCTTATACCAAATCCACTGGTGCAAGGGGCACAAACAAGATGCATAATAAACTTCAAAAGCAAACCAAAGATGATAAGGTGACTTATCCTACATCCATCACTTACACAAGTCATCAAAGCTTTCTCCAGCGTCCGACAATAGAAACCAAAGATGGTTGAAAGATGACAGCTTGAATATGCAATGACGAGCTTTTGACATGCTTACAATTGATGTGGAACGTTGTAATTTTGTGTTCCTCCTCCTTCTCTTCTTCTTCAGGACCAACCTTCCAAGAGCCCAAGCCTGCATCATTGGTTATCGCGACGAGCTCGTCACCGTTCAAACAAATCACCTGATTCGCATGACGAGGTAGTACATGTGAAAACATTGGTCCAACCGAACATGTCTTTGTCCATGACTCCTTATTCCCGTATTCCTTCATCACCCACACATCAACCAACATATTGCCTACGGTTTCTGGTGGAAATTTTATAATGACAACCGCAAGGCAGTCATCTAGGACCGTAAGTTTCCAAATGCTGAAACGACCACCACGGCGACCACCAACAGAACCAGGGCCGAATATATGGTGGTAATTCATTAGATGAACTACTTCTATCCTTCCAAATGTCTCAGCACGAAGGTCAAAAGTAAGGATTAGAAATTCCTGAACTTGGTTAGGAGGATGTTCTGGCAAGGTGAGAGAATCTGCCAGTGAAGGGAATTATCACAAATCACTCCACCACCATCAACATACGAACAAATGGAGTTAGAGTCAAACCAGGTGTCGTGCTTCTCAACCATACTCCAACCACCATCCGTACCGAGTTTGCAAATTTCCACTGCAAATTGAACCCGTTCGTCGTCCAAATCCTCCGCATTCCAAATCGCTACAATCCTGACGTACTTGTAAGCGTTAGCAAACCTATCAAAACCAAATCCCAACGCCTCGGTTCCCTTCTCATCATAATCAGAGGTTGCAAAAGTAAGTTTAATATACTCTTGAGTAACTGGATTACAGAAACGAGTTAGGCTCTTAATCGGATCCTAGAACCAAAGAATTCCCTTGCACGATCCTTTGCACTGAAACAAGGCATCTCTATCGTCCTTTGCACTGAAACAAGGCATCTCTATCATCGTATGGCAATTTAAGATGACGCAAACGAGTAGAAGAATCGACGCAACTTTTCTTCTGGTCCTCCTTCTCCTCGTGGGTTAACAATAGGTTTTGGTGCCTCCATAGGTTTTCGTTCCTCCATAATCTGTATTGATCATTAGGAACCGAATTAGATGTTCTGATGAATACCATTGTGTCGTTTTTGTGGCGGTTGAGTTGTTGCTGAGATTGAACGCCTCTAAAATAAGGGCTTCCGATCAAAGCCTGCCATGATTTACAAACGCACATAAATCTCAACAATGATTTCACCGGCGACCTCACGAAGATCTCGCTCATAATTTCTTCTGGCAGCGAGAAATTCTTCTCCTCTGCCTTTTTCGATTTGGACCCAATCATTGCTCTTCGTTCATCAAAAAAAAAAAAAAACAAACAAAAAAAACTCGAAGAAACAAAAAAAAAAAAAAATTCAGAACAGGAACAAGTAGAAGAAAAGATGAATTCAATTGCTTAGGGTTTATACATATAGATGAGGAGTAAAGAAAAAATTTGGCAGAATTGGGTTTTAAATCCTTGTATGACAGTCCATCACTACTATGTTTCGTCATAGTCGTTGATTGGTACATATATCTATCTTTATTTTCATCTTATTTCACATTTTTAATAAATTAATTTTTTTTGAAATGGAATTATATTAAATTATTATCACCTGTACCAATTGTTTGAATATTATTACTACTACTGGCCCGTGCATTGCACGTCGGGTTATTGTGCTTAATTTTTAGTTACATGAATTTGTTTTGAAGTTTACATCAGCCATATTTAGAATATGTGTAAATATGAACTTTAATTTGATCAATGGCATAATATTAAAAAGTTTTGCTATTAAAAAATTGATTACAAATTGATTTGAGTCTATTAGTGGACGAATTAAGTGACACGTGTCTTCAAAATCATTTTTGATTAACATATATGTAATATTTGAAAATAAAAATAAAGAAATAAAAAAATCCTAACCACTAAATAAATAATGATAACTTCCACCATGAAAATATTTATTTTCTTGAAAAATATAAGTGAAATAACCTAAATATTTATTTTCTTGAAAAATATTAGTGAAATAACCTAATTATGAATATAAAGCGACAAGTTAATTGGTTTTATTTGTTTGTTGACTCATAATATAATCATTTCAAGTCTTTTTTTTTTCTTTTTGTAGGGTGGCAATAGGTTTTCTGCTTTTTTGAGTGGAAACTAACAAGTTTGAATTCTGGAATACGTAGGCAGAATAATGACAACAATTTCTTTTTTTTTTGCTGTAGGTTTTATTTGCAGTACACAGAGATCACTTATGATGTGTACAGGAGGTACATTATTTAGTAGCTTGTTCTTTTTGAGAAAAATGGTTGTAGTGTTAATAAATTGAAGTTTTTCACCTATATATGTACTCGTCTAGGTCCATAACTAACGAAAACTTCGTCCGCCTTATTATTAAAAAGTAAAAAAAAAGAGGCCAACTTACCCAATTAATATGATATTTATGATGATTATTTCACAAGTTTATCATGAAGCACATAACTTTTTTTCTTTTGAAATGAAGACCAAATTATCCTTCGTCATTTCCGAAATTTGAAACTGAGTTTTTTGTTTTTTTTTTTTTTGGAGAGAAAAAAAGGAGTCGAAGTCAAATGATGCAGAACCATAATTTGCACGATTGTGATCAACACGATGCACCAATGACTTTGTTATGCCCCGCAACAAAGATCAACCTGGTACGATTGCTATATTTTCCGAATTTTTAATTGTGTCTTATGTTTGGGGAAAAAAAATTCATGTTGTTGAAGTATAATAATATTATTATTTTTTTCCTTAAATGATTATCCAATTTGATTTTCATTTTTTGTATAAATTGTACTAAAAATAAAAATAAGTAAATTCCGAAACTTTGTTATGTAATTTAAAATTGCGGACAAAGTGTTCGGCAATTCGTTTTTTTGAGCTGCGAACATTATTATGCGTTTTTATTAATTATTAACGCAAGATTTTCCTATTTGTCACGGCTCTTCATGGTGATTATTATTATTTATTTTCATTGATTAATAACCCAAGATCGCGCAACAATGAAATCTAAACCTCTTATACCAAATCTAATGGCGCAAGGGCACAAGCGTACAGATGCTTAATAAACTTCAAAATCAAACCAAAGATAAAGGTGACTTATCCTACATCACTTACAGAAATCCATCAAAGCTTTCTTCCGCCTCCGCCGATAGAAACAAAAGATGGTTGAAAGATGACAGCTTGAACATGCAATGGTGAAGAGTTATTAACTTGCATACAATCGATGTCGAACGTTGTAATTTTGTGTTTTTCTTCCTCCTCTTCTTCTTCTTCAGGACCATCATTCCTGATTAGGGGAAGCTTCCAAGAGCCCAAGCCTTTGTCCTCGGTTATCGCTACAAGCTCGTCACCATTCAAACAAATCACCTGATTCGCATGACGATGTAGTACTTGCGAAAGCATTGGTCAACCCGTACATGTCTTTGTCCATGACTCCTTATTCCCATATTCCTTCATCACCCACAGATCAACCAACATCTAGCCTATGGTTTCTGGCGTAAAATTTTATAATGACAACCGCAAGGTAGTCATCTAAGACCGTAAGTTTCCACATGCTGAAACGACCACGACCACAACGACCACCACAACCTCGGCCCAATATCTGGTTGTAATTCATTAGATGACCTACTTCTATCCTTCCAAATGTGTTAGCACGAAGATCAAAAGTAAGGATTACAAATTCACGAGCTTGGCGATCAGGTGGACGCATTGGGGTGAGCATCCGCCAGTGAAGGCAACCCTGGAACGACAAAATGGATTTGGAGTCAAAGTCATAATGCTTCTCAACCATACTCCAACCATCATCCGTGCCGAGTTTGTAAATTTCTGGTGCAAATTGAACCCGTTCATTTGGAATCGCTACAATCCTGACGTACTTATAATTGTTCGTAAACCGATCAAAACCAAAGCCCAATGCCGCGGTACTAATTCTTGTCTTCGCATCCATGGTGGTTGTAAAAGCAAGTTCAAAATAATCTCTGGTGATTTGATTGCAGAAACGAGTTACACTGTTAATTGGATTATAGAACTAACGGATTCCATTGCACGATCCTTTGCACTGAAAAAAGGAATCTTTATTGTTGTATGGCAATTTTAGATGATACAAACGAGAAGAAGAATCGACGCATCTTTTTTTTGGTCCTCCTTCCCCTCGTGGGTTCACAATAGGTTTTGGTGCCTCCATAATCTGTCCTGATCATTAGAAACTAAATTAGATGTTCTGATGAATACCATTGCGTCGTTTTTGTGGCGGTTGAGTTGTTGCGGAGCCATAACGCGTCTACAATAAGGGCTTCCGATCAAAGCGTTCCATGATTTACAAACGCACATAAATCTCAACAATGATTTCACCGGCGACCTCATGAAGATCTCGCTCATAATTTCTTTCAGTAGCAAGAAATTGTTCTCCTCCGCCCTTTTCAATTGGGACACAATCATTGTTCTTCGTTGATTAAAAAAAATGGAAGAAACAAAATATTTCAGAAGAGGAATACGTTGAAGAAACAATCAACTTCAATTGTTTAAGGGTTTATATTCGAGGAGGAGTAAACACAAAGTTAGGCAGAAGGGGGTTTTAAATCCTATACCAGCCCATCACTACTACGTAAATTAGGTACATACATATATCTATCTCTATTTTCACCTCATTTTATATTTTTAATTAAATTAAAATTATCCAATGCAGTACTGTACTATTTCTTCTTTCATTATAATTATCACATTTTTTTGGGGTATATTATGCACTTGGTGTCCGAAATTGTTGCTCTTATTATTTCGAATTCAATCTAAGTAAGTCTATTTCGGGAGGTAAAACGTTCTGACTATTTTTTATATGCAAAGCACGATCCGAAATATAAAAGTACTTTTTCTTTGAAAGCTCTGCCATGAGTTCTTTATAATGTTATCTGGCACTTTCTCTACAAAATTCTTCCTAAAGTTAATAAAAGAAATTTCATAATCAATTAATTCTAATAAAGTAATATTAGTACAAATCTCAAAACTTGATTAGGACTTCTTTTTTTTTTTTGTGACAGAGGAAGAATATATTCTAGAAAAATTATATATTCTCAACTAAACCAAATAAAAAAAAAAATCCACATTGAATATTGAAATTTATAATATGAAAACATTAGTACAAATTTCAAGATTCTACTGAAAAATATTTTAATTTTTAGACATAGATAGTACGCATCATATCAATTTATGACAATTCTAGACACATTTGCATCTCTAACCCTGTTAATTACAATAGTCATAGATATTTTACAGTACAGTATTATGTCTACTCTTGATCTCGTCGTCGGGGAAAAAATATTTCAATTCTCGGGAAAAAGGTTAAAAATTCGGTATATATATTGGTGGATGTCTGTCAATATTTTCAATTCCCTAAGGCACTCCGTTTGCTGTTTTGTTTTATTTCTTTGGTGGAAACTTAAGAATGCGGAGTTATTAGCGGAATAGGTTGTGTCAATTTGACCGAATTTTTGTTGGGGGCTAAGTGTTTGCCCAGTTTTTGGCTAATTGGGTAGAAGGTGGTGCTAAAGGTGGTGTTAATGGTAGCCCATGAATTTTGGTTAATTTAGATGGACACGGTAGAGGTTTTAAGGCTCTAAAAATACCTAAAAAGAGGCCATAGTACATTTGGGGCAACATGGGTTGATTGGCAATAAACAGTTTCAGAATCGAGGAAAGGTGAAGACAAATTGGAGTAGGACTATTCCAGAAACAATGACGTGATTAATTCGCAATAAAGGAAGATTTCACCTTATTTGTTGCTTCTTTTTAAAAGGAGAATTGCCAGTAATGAAGGAGATGTATTTTGAAAAGGATTGTATTGCCAAATTAAAAGTTGATTATTAGAAGAGTTCTAATCCGAATGGGAAACTGTTACGGGAATAATCCCCTAGTTCCAAGGAAATTGACTAGCTTAAGCTACCTCTTCTCCAAGTAAGCATACGGTAGTAAGGGTTTTGTCCAATCACTATAAATAGAGGTAGTCGTGGAGAGAAAATTATCGTCGATCAACCATAAAACTTACTTTCTTTGTCTTTTATTGTATTTCTTTCTTTTGAGCACCTTTTACCACGTTTTCACCTCTCCTATGGTAGTTCATCATGTTCTGTCATGCTTGCTTAGCCCCTAGCTTAGCAATAGAGTTGTTTCACCTATTTCTCCTACATAGAAATAAGTAGTTTTTTGTCATTTTCTACTTCAATAAATTCGGTTATTCTGTAATAGGTATTCTAGATGCTCATATCCGTGGACAAACATGTCTAAGTCCACCCTAATCTGATCTTTGTATGCTTACGACAAATCTAGCCGTTTTATAGTCTTCTGCGTACTGCCGGCAAAACTGTGCGTGAAACTGATCTGTAGTCAGCACTGGGCGATTTTCCACTTTATAAATCAAACGCCGTCTCTTCGGGTATTCTCCATTTTCTCCTAGTTTTTACTTGTCTTTCTTAAACTAAAGCCAATAACCCTAAGATGTCAATTCTGATTCAAGGCTAGTTTGAACTCATCCACAATCGTCTAATTAAATTGTGTTTTCTTTGATTCATGTTCCCCTTGTTCCTACGGTTTCGGGTGCACAGTTTTCACGTAAACATAAAAAAACCAAAAAGAGTCTTTTCCCTTTTCTTTGTGATGGCGTGTCCAAAAATCCAAAATTATGCCTTTGACATCTCTAGAGGTCCGGTCTACATCTTCACTTCATATAGTAGGTCGCTTGCAAATTCTAGCCTTATATATACATCACCCAACATCCAGTGTAGCTCATCACCACTCGCTGAGCAGATATCTCAACAAACTCTATCCACACAACCCCACATCCAATATAGCCCATCGTGGTGGGCAGATTTTCCAACAACTTGTATCGGCACAATATTGCTCTAGAATTATATATGTTGCCGTTCAAGAATCAGAGTTGGAGAGAGAGTCCCATGGTTACAGTTGGTGCCAATATAATGTTGATCATCAAAACAATGCAAATGTGGTTAGGCACTGATTCTTAAATGGAATGCTGATGCTGAGCACAACTCTCAAGGGAGCGAGAGTAGAACTTGTATGACTTTTTATCCTGTCTGGTGATCAATATTTCGTAAATCGGTAATCCATCAGTGCCGATGAATGAGATCAAAGCCCAACAATGCAAAAACCTTTGACACTCAGGGGACCAGCCTTATTTGGCAATTAGTTGCAGCAATATGATTTTCATGACAGGCTTGGCGGTGGTCGGATCAATTCAAAAGTTCCATTCGAAGATTTCAGACAGCAATCTACGGCGTATGGTCATGAATTACAACGGTCTCAACAGTCGGCGGTGACCTGTCGACATATATCGTTGCAATTACAATAGAGTTACCTATCACGAGAGCAAATCCAGCAGTCCCAGTCACGACCAATGGAGCTTCAGCGGGCCGATCAATGGACTACACAATCTATGTAGTCGAAACTGTCCTTGGTACAGTTCCAACTGTCCCTAATAGAATCTTCACATATTCAGCTATCATCGACAACAGTCTAACGAGTTCAGCTACAACCGATTCAGCCTTTGAACAATGATCTAGAATCAGCACAAGTCCAGCACACGCTGTTACAGTCTCGGCAAACAACATCAATTGCCACAAGTCCATCAGTAGTATTTTTTGCCATTACAGTTCCAACAACTAAAACAATCTGTAGACTAAGTTTAACAACAATCAACACATATTCAACTGTTTTACTCGTTGCCGATGAAGTCTTAACAAGTTCAGGCATTAGTTCATGAGAATTCATAGTTAGTCTAGTCTCAGCAGATCAAACAGTCAACGACACAGTTGTAACTTCAGCAACTGAAAGAGTCCATAGAGCTAATTCTAAATCAATTATGGGAACAAACTCAACAATTTAAATCATTGCCGGTAGAATCTTCAACAAGTCTAGTTATCATTAATGCCGACTCAGTCATCACCAATAGGATCTCCACCTAAGGGGCAGTTTTAATCATAACCAATGGAGTCTCAACCGACCAATCAGGTAACGGAGCAGTTGAATGAGATTGTGTTACAATCCTTATTGAAGTCCCAGCAGCCATCAGTGTAATTTCAATAGATTTAATCATCCCCAGTGCGATGTAGGCAAGCCGATATGTCTGCGACACCGATCCAATAGCCGCCGTTACAACCTCAAAAGGAGAAACAATCATTGGTACAAATCTAGCAAATGCAACAATTATTATCGGTAGAGTCTCAGCTGATGCAGAAATCACAAGCATCTCTCCAACAGTTGTAATCGTCATCATGAGAGCCTCGTCTGTTTAAGCAATCAATGATACAGTTACAACAATCTTCATTACAGTGTCAGAAAGTGCGACCATCATCAGTAGGAACTCAGCCATCATCAATACATTATCAGTAGATATCATGATTGATGGATCAGCAGCCCCAACAAAAAAGAACAGAGTTGGAGGAAGGGGTAGAATGACCGTTGTTGAATCACCAGTGTCTTGATTTATCATCATCAGTGCAAAATGAGCTATCAATGTCGATAGAGCAAATACAGTAGCTGCAAGAGCCATTGTAGAATCAGGAAGTTTAATATACATCCATGCTAGTAGACAGTCAGTTGCTAAGACAACCAACACATGCCAAAGAATTGCAGTCGTCATCTGAACAAGATAAACATGGTCAATAGAAAATTATACAATCCTATCAGTTTCAACAACAGTCAATCCCATTCCATGAGCAAGTAGTGTCATTTGCGTAGAAGAAAGTGCCAATCAAAGTGTTCCAAGAACAGATGGTACAGTTTCAAAAATAAATGATGTAAAGCCACAAGTTTAACCAGTAACCGGTGAAAAGTAAATCGTTTCAGAGTTTGTCTTAGCCGGAACAAGGTCAGTTACAAGAACCTTTCGCCGATTTATGTTCTGGCACATCAATACAGAATCAGTCAGAAATGCTATTG